TTGACGGTACATGGTCCCCGTCCATCGTCCCTTTGATGCGGTAAAGTTGTCCTGTCCCCTTAGCAGAAAAACACCCCCAAAGCATAATGTTTCCACCTCCATGTTTGACGGTGGGGATGGTGTTCTTGGGGTCATAGGCAGCATTCCTCCTCCTCCAAACCCGGCGAGTTGAGTTGATGCCAAAGAGCTCCATTTTGGTCTCATCTGACCACAACACTTTCACCCAGTTGTCCTCTGAATCATTCAGATGTTCATTGGCAAACTTCAGACGGGCACGTATATGTGCTTTCTTGAGCAGGGGGACCTTGCGGGCGCTGCAGGATTTCAGTCCTTCATAGCGTAGTGTGTTACCAATTGTTTTCTTGGTGACTATTGTCCCAGCTGCCTTGAGATCATTGACAAGATCCTCCCGTGTAGGTCTGGGCTGATTCCTCACCGTTCTCATGATCATTGCAACTCCACGAGGTGAGATCTTACATGGAGCCCCAGGCCGAGGGAGATTGACAGTTATTTTGTGTTTCTTCCATTTGCGAATAATCGCACCGACTGTTGTCACCTTCTCACCAAGCTGCTTGGCAATGGTCTTGTAGCCCATTCCAGCCTTGTGTAGGTCTACAATCTTGTCCCTGACATCCTTGGAGAGCTCTTTGATCTTGGCCATGGTGGAGAGTTTGGAATCTGATTGATTGATTGCTTCTGTGGACAGGTGTCTTTTATACAGATAACAAGCTGAGATTAGGAGCACTCCCTTTAAGAGTGTGCTCCTAATCTCAGCTCGTTACCTGTATGAAAGACACCTGGGAGCCAGAAATCTTTCTGATTGAGAGGGGGTCAAATACTTATTTCCCTCATTAAAATGCAAATCAATAAAATTTCGATTTAAAGCTTTCGTGACTGCAGGGATTCATCTTCTGGGTTATTTCGGTAAAGTCACGTAGAATGGAGATAAAATAATAAAAATAATAACAGAATAAAATTCTCCCGACGCTTCGGCCACAACACAAGTAGCCTTCCTCAGGTGAAGAAACAGGACTGTCCAGAAGATAGCACTTGAGTGAACCCTGCCAAGCTTGACAGCGTCTTTTAAGCTTTGTCACAGCTGTCCTGTTTCATCACCTGAGGAAGGCTACTTGTGTTGTGGCCGAAACGACGTGAGAATTTTATTCTGTTTTTTTTTATCTCAATTCTACGTGACTTTACCGAAAGAACCCAGAAGATGCAAATCAATTTATAACATTTTTGACATGCGTTTTTCTGGATTATTTTGTTGTTATTCTGTCTCTCACTGTTCAATTAAACCTACCATTAAAAATATAGACTGATCATTTCTTTGTTAATGGGCAAAGTACAAAATCAGCAGGGGATCAAATACTTTTTTCCCTCACTGTATCGTGTGGTGGAGTCCACTGCGTGGCGCTGTCCAGCACTGAGGTTCTGAGCGCGTCCATCCACCCACCCCCCCTGTGTGTCCAACTCCACCTCCCCATGTGTGCGGGGGCTGCTTTTGCTCAGCGTTGTTATCTCAAAACTGCCTCGTGCGAGCGCGTCACTTCGCAACGGCTGCTCACAGATTGCGACGCGCCTTCAACACCGCGGTGGCTTTTTAACAGCGTGGCGCGTTCGCGTGCCCAGACGTGGCGCAGCAGTTACACAAACAGAACGTGGGTTACTTAGGGGTGCATAAGCACAAAATAGCATCAACTCAACACATCCGTTTAATCACAGCGAGCAGAGAGATCAATTTATCTGTAAGACCCATATCTAACAGAGATGATAAATACTCGCCTGTAAACATCTGGCAGCTGACCAGCATTGGTTTTCGAAAGCTTGATTCTGCCGAGACAATGAATGTCAAAGCCTGCTTCGGAGTATTCTGGTGTGGAACCAAATGCTGTTGAAAAGATTCACTCCCAGTAGGCTGTGTGGCTGATGGGACGTGCAAAAATATCTTATTTTGTTACGTGGAGAGACAGCTATGGGACGGAATATTGTCGGCTCATTCGTTTTGTTGCAATTAAGTTTTTTGTTCACATGCAGTACTATGAATAATATTGTTGGTCTAATTGCCACTTAAACATTTAGCCTGCTACCATCACGCATAAAGTAATTCGCTATGAAATTACATCGTAATGTGAATAGGCATTACTTATACAAAGGCGTAATATATTGAAACAATATACAATTATAAAGCAATCCACTGCTGTATGAATGACTCCACCACGCCGTGTCGGTCGTGGGAGTTGCTTGACCATACTTCACCACGCTGGTCAGCAGTGCGGACTGGTGAAGAGGGAGAGCCTCGTGGTTAAGGCATCATCTGTGGCTGCTTCGCTAGCAGAAGTCCGTTCTTTGTAAAAAAAAAATCAATCCTTTCTTTTGTCCATGTAATGTATAAATTATAAGGTAATTAGCGACATCATTTAAATGTCAGTGCTGTATAAATTAAATTACAGGTATTAGGTATTATGGTAAATAGAAGTGAATCCTATACGTACTGTATAGTGGAAGAATGCCACCCTCTTGTGGCAATAACGCGTTTAAGCAGATCGTTTGCTGGCTTTACATGTCTGTCCCTCGAAATAGAAAAATACATGCAGGAACATGTTTTTTACACATGCCATTGGACGCACGGCCTCCTGGAACTGAATGGGTTCAGCAATGTTGGTTTAATACAAAGCAAAACTAGGACCGGTTTCGACTTTCAGCGTCCCGTCAGCTCGCCTTAACCGATGATGGTGAACTGCCAGATGGTTATAGGCCAAGGACCCCCACCCCCTGTCTATCTCCTTATATCGCTGGGAGATCACTAAAGCGATTAATTAAAAAATCACCTGGGATTTGTGTTACTGGATCCTGGAGGCATGTGTCGGGTTTCAACAGTGCGATATACAAGGCAAACCCCCATGCTGAGCTTCACACGTGCCCCTCATTCTGACTTGCCTGGGATGTTATATTTGTTAAACTTCTTTCGCACCATACGCAATCAACCCTGCTAATCGGACGTGGGAGTGGGGAAGGCCAATAAACTAAACACAAAAAGCAGTTCTAAAGAAATGAATTTTCAATCTAGATTATTTAAAAGTGCAAAGCTCCAGTGGCTTCCTAATATCGAAAGGAAGAGCGGTCCGGGCGGCTGCAGAAACGCGTCTGCAGAGACTGTCTTTGTTCGATGGCCAGCCCTGCTCCTTGACAAGATCAGCAAGGTTTTGTAGTTAATGTGTGGCAAGTACTTTATTTGTAATGAGTGCGACCTCATAACGCACCCGAACACCGTCGGATCTTGCAGTAGCCGTCACGACACGTGCCAGAGGTGCTTGGTAACGTTTTTACCAACCGTCGCGTAGAGTAGTGAGTTGCCAATAATCGAGCCTTGTGGGTTCTATGCTACACGCAGACTATTCTATGCTACACGTTGGCTACGTCACGACTCAATAGTGGTGGAATGTGTCGTAGAGCCCTGATATTATAATTGCAGGACTTAATAGGGTGAGATGGATGTGGCGTCCCAAAATGATTCCCGGACCAACGTTCTGGACTGGTCTAGCTGAAATTAAACACTGTGTACAGGCTGTTACTGCAAGTGCTGCTCGTGAACAACTATGTAGACCAGAACGGCACACGAGGGGTGGTCTGGCCAGCATTATGACCGGCCACCTCTATCACCCCAATGCTGATGTGTAACACACCGCACCATTTCTTAATTTAAGGATTATTCGACATAAGGGAGGCCCAGAACCGGTTTGGATATTCGCCACTGATGTCAGCCGTCAGCATGAATGGAACTCGGGTCGCCCGGTTCCTGGGCATAGTGCGCTAACGACTGCGCCACCACTCCTAGCAGAGACAGAATCTACACGCTCTGATACAATGATGGAAATTCAACGTATGTATTTATGAATGTGAATGTTTATTTTTTAAAGTTACGAATATAACATGTTTTGTATATTTAAAGCAGTATTATCGACGACATTTTGGAGTTATTTTTGTTATGTGTGCTTGTGCACCATTGCCAACGCAGTGACAGTATCACGAAATCCATTTCTTTTGGGTGTGAAGATCGTTCATCATTAGTCGGTGAGCGAAGACATCTGAAGTCTAGCCATGAGAAAGAGTGCACGTGGTTTGATCACGTACAGCACACACATCACTCGAGATCAGATTCGATATCTCACCTCACCAGGGTCACAAAATCACGCGACTTTAACCGACACGTCAACACTTAAAGGCGTGAATTTTGCATCAAACCCAGAGTACAGAGAAACGTGCTTTAATACTTGTTCTTTTTATGCACAGCCTAAAAACAAGAGGGTTTTCATCTGTGAAAAAGAGCTGCATAGCTCATCGGATTCCTCCAGTATAAATACATATTCTGATTCTGATCATTTCACCAATTTAAAGCAATGAATTAACACACAAAAGAACTGATATTAGTCAAACATCCCAATGATGAATTCCTGCAAATTATACATTTTTCCACACACAGAAGCAACACTGCTTATCCCCCCCATCCCCCACTGTGAACACCTGCAGGACCCTCCTGTAAGAGTCTTGAGACTCAGTGAGGCTTCCCTGGGTGTGTAACGATTATTGTATTAATAATAATGTCACTTGTACGTCTACATGTGTGTCGGAGATGTATAGGAATCGTGACTGAAGCGTGCTGAAGGAGGCCGTAATGCCCTTGTCAACTTGTGGGTGACCAGTCATCATCAAGTTCATTCTCAGGTCTTTGTCAATTATGCTGTATGAAGACCTTAACAGAATCTTTAAAAACAATATATATTTTTTATACCAGGTAAGGCCCACTGAGCTATAGAGGTATTTTTCAAAAGCGACCTGGCCACAGATGATAGTTCATTGAAGTGGATTTTTACGTGGACATTTATAGCAGCCAAATATTTTCAACGCGTATTGATTCTGAATGTGGAGGGGAAAATTAGAGAACCCGGAGAAAAATCCACGCGACCACGGGGATAGAGACACGCACACTCCAAATATACAGCAGGCGTCAGGGTCGGGATCGAACCCACGTACCTCCTCCATCCCAGGTCGAGTCAGTTATCATCTCGCCACCGCGGCGTCTTCCCCACGATGTGCGGGTTGTGTTTGACCATACTTCACCACGCCGGCCAATGGGGGTTGGTGAAGAGAGGGCGGGGTGACCTCAGGACCGCTTCAGATATCACTCGCCACTGATGTTAGCCGTGGCCGGGAATCGAACACGAGCGACTGGGTTCCTGGTGCAGTTCCCTAACGACCGTACCACAACTGCACCCCAGTGATGCTCATCTTGATAGAACATTTACTGTGCAGGACTGGATATGCACATTACACGCAGATCTCCCTTAACATTCTCACTTCCCAGTAAATTAAGATCACGGTGTAGTTATTGGCGAGTGTGTGTGTGTTGAGTTGTAGTTGCTAATCGAGCTTTGTGCACCACTGCCAACGCAGCAACAGCAGCAGCAACACCAAACATACTGGGCAACTGAGACCTGCTCGGAGCACTGATCTCGGACCAAGCGGTGAGGTTTGTGGCAACGAGCCTTTTAAAGTAAAGAACAGTGTATACTATTTCTGTTTTAAGGCAGTGCGGACGACAAACGTGGCGATATTTGTAGTTTGTGCTAATCTTCTTTTCACTTTTTGCCCTTTCAGGGAAATGTATCTTCAACTTGACAGGAACACCACAGCGGAAGGCGCGCATGAGCAAATAAACCGCGCCTGATACGGTTGTGGCGTATAGTTCCGGTAACCGGTTCTGGCTATTTCAGTATCGGCTGGGAAAATATCGATGGGTTTAATGAGGCTTCCACAAGGTACCGGGCAGCACAGAAGATACAGGACAAGGCCACGAGATAAGGTGGAGATGCCGATTGGGATATAAGGGGACTCGGGGCGGCAGCTCAGCATCGTCTTGCTCACGAACCACAGAGAAACATGCACGGGCTCATCCTCGCTCTTCTCGTGGGTGTCGCTGGTGAGTTCCACCAGACTCTGTGTGTGTGTCTTTGTCTTCATTTGTCTCTATGTGTGTCTCTGTGTGTCGGGAGCGATAGTGCAATGGTAAGCGTGCGGCGCTACGAACCCGGCTACCTGAGTTCGATTCTGGCTCCACGGCCAACACCAGTGACGATTATCTGAACCGGTCTTGGTCTCTCCTAGGTCGACTCAGCCTCAAATGAGTACCTGGTTCGATGTGTAAACATCGCTAGCCGTTTTCATAGGTGTTACTCGCTGACAGCAATTGCCCCAACAGTCTGTTAAGGCTATATGGGGGATCTTTGTGTCTTGTAGACGTTTGGGGAGCGGTAATGTAACAGTTAGCGCACTGCGCTACGAACCCGGTGACTCGAGTTCGATTTTGAGCTCACGACCAAACATTAGTTGCGAGCGATATGTGATCCAAATTATTTTGGTGCTATGAAGAATGGCCATTGTCGAAAACGTCGTATATGATATATTTTCCATTTAAGACAGAACCCCGAATTACCAGCGTGGTGAAGAATTGTTAAACAACCCCTATTCATGTATGTTGCATTTTTTCGCAACGTACTAAGCACAAAACTCCGTTTTAAAGAAACGACCAACACAGAGTGGGGAGGACTTCATTTTGCATTCGATTGACAAGGGGCTGGATGTTATTATTATTATCATTGTATCACTGTAATTAAAACAAATATCTTGTCGTGGCTACATAGAGAGCAGCAATAGTGCTGCAGCAGTCGGTGCGCTGTGCTATGGTAACCAATGGCGTGGGTTTGAGCTTCCTGCAATGTTGCACAACGGCTGTCGCCCATTTGTATCCGATTGACCTCAAATCCAAAAGCGATGTCTCGCCTCATCACCGATGGCTTTCACTTTTACTCATTTAGCCACACCGGGAAACGCTGCTTTTTAGCCCGCTAGGAGAGACGGTGAGGAGCGAGATGGTGATGACGATGGTGTCGAGTATCATCGTCCGATTAGCACGGTTGACTACGTACGGTGCGACAAGAAGTTCAACATACAAAGTCAAAGCTGTCAACCCGTACATTTTACCCCGTATTTTTTGTACAGGGAAATTGAGTTTTCAGGTCCATACGACGTACAGCCGTTTCAAAACGGGCAAACAAAGATTGTGTCTATTTGTTTGTGTTTCTCCCTCGTGATGGGACTTTGTAGGGTGAATGTTGAGGTTTATAAAGGGCACGGGTGACTAATAAGGTCTGAATTGGTCTGTAATAAGGTAGAAACTGACAAGGGGTTGACAGGTATGCAACACACATACGTCTGGCATGGATAGTGGGGTGATGGCGTTGATGATAGTTGTGCAAGCGATAACTATAATTATTTATAATAATACTATGATTTTAATACAGCTTAAATCATGCAAATTGCTGCTGTTCGAGCAACTCCAATGTTGGCGATGATTGGGATTTTGCTAGCAGTGAGAATGCTTTCAATGAAGACAACGACGTCGATGATGATGAATGTTGGTGGATGCAAGTGAATGGCCCTGGACATACATCGACACGACTGTGTGTGTGCTGGCCACCCACCCCCTCGTGTGCCGTTCCGGCCTTCATAGGTGCTCGCTAATAACACTTGCCCCAACAGTCTGTGAAGGCTCTACTGGGGGATCTTTGTGTTTGTCTGGCAGCGGCGGCCCCATACATGTATGAGGACCACATCGTGGGTGGCTCCGAGTGCGCTGCCCACTCGCAGCCGTGGCAGGTGTCCCTCAACATCGGATACCACTTCTGCGGAGGCTCCCTGATCAACAGCCAGTGGGTCGTGTCTGCCGCTCACTGCTACCAGACGTGAGTGCACTGCGTGCGGACAAGAGCGGATCTCTTCGATGTGTGCGTGTCGGTGACTGGGAGGCTGAGGGGGCAGAAATGGGGCTGCTATCTAAATTACACGAAAATTTCCGCATGTAATTTCGTTACATTTGCAATTTGCAACTGGTATCTAAATTACACACCTCAAATAAATTGGTCATTCGTACATAAATTACATAAGTCAGAAATCTGAATGCTTTTTGTCCATCTCTGCGTGGTGGCGTGATGTTCTGGTGGGGTTTTGCCGAGCCACGGCACTGCAATCTCCGTTACCCATATTACATCTCTCAATGGGCACTGAGGTGTTGCTGAACTCCCGTTAACAGCCTTGAACCAGTGGTGTAAATTTCACATTCCTAATTTCATGGGTGAGTATCTCCACAGGAAAATCACCCTACAAAGTAGTAGCAATGTTATCAATCTCAGAGGGGAGATGGCCCAAGTGAACCCCCAACCGTGATTTTGAACATGAAGCGTTTCATTTGGGAAGACAATCGTTGTGCCCAGTGTGATAGCAGTAGGGAATAGGAATAGCGGAGATGAGATGCGTCGTTAGGTGCCGAGTTGCGAAGTAATTTAAGAGCCTTATAAATTCAATTCCTCATCATTATCCTCGTCCCTCTCCTTCTACTCCTCCAACCCCAGCGCGTCCCGCATCTCCGTGCGCATCGGCGAGCACAACATCTTCGTGAACGAGGGCACCGAGCAGCAGATCCAGGCCTCCAAGGCGATCCAGCACCCCCAGTACAACTCCTGGACCATCGACAACGACATCATGCTCATCAAGCTGTCCTCACCCGCCACCCTCAATCAGTACGCGCAGGCCATCGCGCTGCCCTCCTCCTGCGTCAACACCGGAGTCATGTGCACCATCTCCGGCTGGGGCGAGACCCAGACCAGTGTCGGTGAGGATGCACCGCGCTCACCGCCCCCCACCCACCCCCCTTCTCCCCCTTCTACTGCGACAGAGACGTGAAGGGAAACGCGTTCAACATCTGCCCCCATGCAAATCGGTAACATCCTTCTAATGTGGAGAGAGAAGTTGTTTACTCGTTAACGCAGCCACGTCACGATTGGGCGGTTACAATTACTTGTCGAATATTGTTACATGCAGTGGGAAACCACAGTGCCTGAACTGAGGGGATAACACTTAAACACCTAATCTTGGATATATATAATTATTGTACAGCACTGGCATAAAGGCCCGAAACGCCAGCGGCCAGCAACCCACCGCGCTGCTGAACACGTCACGAACGAGAGTGAATACGTTTTCTCGAATTGAGCAACATAGCGAGAGACACTGACAGTGAATTCCTAAGCTGCAGGCGGTGTTTTGCCCCTGCAGCATGACAAGATCGACGCGTCAGTGGCGGGGTGCCGCCCTGTGCCGCGTGCTCGGCCTCGCCACCTCCTCAACCGGCATTATCTCCCCCCACAGGCAGTCCCGACGTCCTCATGTGCGTCCAGGCGCCCGTGCTGAGCGACACCTCCTGCAGGAACTCCTACCCCGGTGACATCACCAACAACATGATCTGCCTGGGATACCTGGAGGGCGGCAAGGACTCCTGCCAGGTGAGATGGCGACATCGAAGCCGAAGGAGCTCGCTTCGATCAGAGACAGATTCGAGGAACGGAGGGTTTGGGGAATCGCAGTGCGACTATAATTTGGGTTTATATCGTTTCACGTAAATATGCTGCGCAAGAAGTAGGATACGGTATTCATTTCAAACGTGAAGCAATGAAAACAGGGAGAATGTATATACGTATATATATTTTTATTTATTTTAAAAGTATTCAGCTTTGCCTTGAATTTTGCAGCAAAAGATGGCTGGAGGGAGGGAATTCCAGATTCAATTGACCAGAGTAATTGGTGAAAATTGTTACACGTGATTTGCTTTGTGAGTGCAATCATCGTGGAACGATAATAAGCTGCGTTGGTAACATGTTCAAATGAGCATTGACAGAATTGCACCCATTTGAAACTTAAATACGACGTTCACTTGCTACTTCCTGGTCTCGTCTGCTAGTAAAGTCAAATCGATTTCCTGCTGCAATGACCATTGAGCCACTGGTGCTCACCTCACGTTTACAGCCCTGAGTCTGGTGAAAAAGTGATTGGGCAATCACCGTTGACTTTCTCAGAGAAATGATGGGATGAGTCAGAATCAGAATTTTTACTTTTGCTGGAGGAATCCGATGAGCTATAAAACTCTCTTTTGTCAGATGTCCAGTCGGGGCCGGTCAGAACGTTACAACAACAAACAATACAAAACACCGGTTTAACACGTAGGCTTTCGCGACCAAAATCATCCATAATATACGTTTTTGGGGGGTTAGATCGTGGATGTAACAACAAAAAAACCTATATAAATACAAACCACGATAGCAACCTCCAACCAGGACTTGAACTCGCAAAACCTTACGATTGACAGCTTCTTGCTCTACCATTGAGCCACCGGATGCAGGAGACAGCTGCTAACCCCCGACCCCCCTGACCCCTGCTGCTGCCACTACCGCAGGGAGACTCCGGCGGCCCCGTCGTGTGCAATGGCGAGCTGCAGGGCATTGTGTCCTGGGGCCGTGGTTGCGCCCTGCCCAACTACCCCGGCGTGTACACCAAGGTGTGCAACTACAACGCCTGGATCGCGCAGACCATCGCGGCCAACTAAGCGTGGATCTAACACACTACTCTTCACCGCGACCATAACGATGAGCATGACAACAATTCTTATGGTGTAACCAAATGAATAAAAATGTGAACCAATAATTTATCTTGGTTTCTGTGTGTTTTTTGTGAGCTTGTTTTTAAGGGGTATGCACTTATTCATAGTAGATTTCACAGTTGACTTTAAAAGCCAAAAAGTCAAAGTGAATGCCTGTTTAAGGAGCATTGAGGTAGTGCTCACCTCCTGTTTGCAGCTCCGAGTCAGTAGTGGAAATTCCACATTCCTATGACTGGTCAAGTCTATGTGAACCAATAATGTATCTTGGTTTCTGTGTGTTTTTTGTGAGCTTGTTTTTATGGGGTATGCACTTATTCAAAGTAGATTTCACAGTTGACCTTAAAAGCCAAAAAGTCAAAGTGAATGCCTGTTTAAGGAGCATTGAGGTAGTGCTCACCTCCTGTATGCAGCTCCGAGTCAGTAGTGTAAATTCCACATTCCTATGACGGGTCAAGTCTATCCATAGGACAACCACTGTTGACATTCGAGTCGAATGAGTCAATCCGCAACCAGAATTGAACTCCAAAACTTCTAGATTGTGAGCCACTCACTCTGATGCTGGATACTATGGTGATGATGTATTGGTTAGCACATTGTATTCTGAACCTGGTCACTTTATAGAGGTCTTTATGGGTTAGATCGCGTAAATATAAATGCGTCGTTAAACCCACCACCACCCGACACAGCCAATTAGCAAGGTTTGTCACTTAAACAAACATGCCAATTCGTTACTAGTTCTGCACTAACCGGTGTGTTGGAGAGTAACAACTCTGGCTGTCGCCTGATGAGGCTGGATGTAATTACTGGCAAAACGTCGTACTCGAATTGTAAATGTTGTGGGTTTACTCTCCAATACACCAGTGTGTCGGGTGATGGCAGGTTTAACGACACATTTATATTTACGCGATATATCCCAAAAAACATCTATTTTGGATATTGGTCACGAAAGCCTACTCCGTGTTAAACTGGTCACCTGAATTTTATTCTTGACCAAGGCTGCAATCAGTAGCGAGTGAAAGAACCATCACCAACCCACCCCAACCAGGATGGTGAAGTTCGGTCAAACAACCCCTCAAAGACGGTGTATATGGAGGCATTAATCCAGCAGTGGTTAGTGTACTATTATTGGCTATATTCTATAAATAGTGAGTCAAACGACAAGACTCATCTATTCTATTTCGGATTCATATAGCGCCGTTTGCAGGGCGCTTTAAAATGCAAGCCGACGGCGTTCAGTGAGGGAGGTGACGGAATGCATAGAGGGACAGGGGCTGGGAATGGAGCTGATGTTGCAGGGGTAGGTAAGGCAGAATAAGGTGGAGTGTAGTAATAGGTTTTACCCTTTTAACTGGCACAAAAAACTGACACCTTTATTCAAGGCATCATGTCTGCAATAACCACAACACAAACAGTCAAAATGCAAACAAAAAGACAACGCTGATAATATGCACTGTCCTTGAATTTGATTGGTCCACACCCGAGAGGGCTTTCTTCAGAGGCTAGTCTCCACTGGTTTTGGACCAGAAGAGCCAAAAGGCGTACAACTCAAAAACAGCACACTATCAGAGTATTGAGGGCCCGGGGTGAGCATTTACATTATGAGCCTTCCTTTGCCAGTAACAAGATATAGTAATAAAGGTGTCAGTTTTTTGTGCCAGTTAAAAGGGTAAAACCTATTACTATATCTTGTTACTGGCAAAGGAGGTCTCATAATGTAAATGCTCACCCCGGGCCCTCAATACTCTGATAGTGTGCTGTTTTTGAGTTGTACGCCTTTTGGCGTCTTCTGGTCCAACACCAATGGAGACTAGGCTCTAAAGAAAGCTGTCTCGGGTGTGGACCAATCAAATTCAAGGACAGTGCATATTATTATCAGAGTTGTCTTTTTGTTTGCATTTTGACTGCTTGTGTTGTGGTTATTGCAAACATGATGCCTTGAATAAAGGTGTTAGTTTTTTTGTGCCAGTTAAAAGGGTAAAACCTATTACTATATCATGTTACTGGCAAAAGGAGGTCTCATAAAGGTGGAGTGTGTGATGGTGAGTGAGAGTGTCTGATGGGTGCAACGTGAATGAGAGGGAGTGGGGTATGGGGCACAAGCGTGAAGTTGTGAAATGGGCATGGATGAGGGTAGGTGAAGGGTGGTAGGGGCAGAGGTCTGGTGGCCGGATCGCTGAGCTGATGGAGGAGCACAGTGTAGGGCTGGGGGATATAGCATACAGGATGCACGTAAAATATCGTGGCCAGAAGCTTGTTCAGCTAAATCAAGGCAAATCATTCATGCTTCAAACAGATAAAATTGATCCCATTGCTGCATTCATATCTACGGAATTCATGATTAAATAATGTAAACAATTTCCACATTCACAGCAAGCACCGTGCAGTAATGTAAACAAGTGCAATAATGTAATGTAAACAAGTGCAATAATGTAAACAATTTCCACATTCTCAGCGCGGTTACACTGCACGGTGCTTGCTGTGATGTCACAGAACACGGAATCACTCTGTGATCTTACAGTTCACATTGCAAGCTGTGATTTTACAGAGATCTGAATTTGCGTTCCGTTCGTCCCTGTTCATATCACACGGCTCGGTGAGATGGATGAGCAACTTTACGACTGGGTCATGTGACGGTTTGTTCGTATTCTTCTACAGGAAAATTTAGTTTTCGGGTCCATACGGCGAACAGCTGTTTCAATACGGGCACAAATAATAATTTGTGTCTATTTGTTTGTGTTTTTCCCTCGTGATGGGATTTTGTAAGGTGAACGTTGAGATTTATAAAGGGCACGGGTGACCAATAAGGTCTGAATTGGTCTGTAATAAGGTAGAAACTGACAAGGGGTTGACGGGTATGTTTGACGGGAACTGTTTGCTTGGAACGTGCTCTCCAAAAAGCGTTGGTGTATCTGCAATAATGACCACGGCATCAGCACCGCAAGCCACACAACACCACCGTGCTCCATCAACCCGCCCAGAAGCCAGCTTGTCCACGTCTCAGGAGCGCACAGCACAGGGGCTGCGGTGTCGCATGCGACTCTTTGGTTGCCCCCTTGCGGGCAGCAGTTAACAAAAACTAAATCTTAAATAATCATTTGACGTAAATATAATCGATCAAATATGACAGGGAATGGGGTCACTATGGCATGTCTTGGTGACGGCAAAATGTTCAATCAAAAAGTATTGTTAAGGAATCACGAAAACTAAATAGACGCAGTTTATTCCATCACCTATTTTGTTTATTTAAGTAATGTGTGTGTCATCTGCTGCTCCATCTGTGGACCAGCTCTGACCCCTGGAATAGCAACATAACATTTCCACAACGATTGTATACCAGAAAAGAAAACATATATATTACAGTTTCACCTTGAGTTTCCAAGTCACAACCACTTTAATAAAGCGTACATTAAACGTGTAATAATAAATAAGGACATTTTTACATCTAGTTATATTATAAAGAAATGAACAGATTATGTAACTAGATGTAGTTATATAATGAATTTATCACTCGATACCAGATTCGATATCTCACCTCACCAGGGTCACAAAATCACGCGACTTTAACTTACACGTCAACACTTAAAAGCGTGAATTTGTCATCAACCCCAGAGTACAGAGAAACGTGTGTTCAATACTTGTTCTTTTTACGTGTAACCTAACAACAAGAGGTGTTTCATGTTCTGCCTCACGGCAAGTGTGGGGGTGTGTGTACACAGGAATTTCCTGTTTTGATGCTGAGTTTGATCACGTGACCAGGAAGTTATGAATTAAGATTCTCTCTCGGCCACGCGGCAGGGTGTCAGCCATTACACAGAGTACAAAATGGTGGCACAAAGAGCCGTCCCCGTGAAGATAGGTGCATCTGTTCATTGTGGGACTTTAAGAAGCATTGTCTGTAAGTTCGTTTATGTTCATATAATATTGGGAATGCTGATATAATGTTAGAATGACCGTTATAATGCTGTAAATGCCTTTATAATGCTGTTAAATTGCTATGGTAAATATGAGGCCTAGTTAACAACGAAGCCTGCCACTTGCCTTATTGTGAATGTTACTTGTAATTGAATAAGTCGAGTAAGACTTGTACCCATGTAACCTTATTACGATCTTGAGAGCAAGGATGACGAAATATCCCATCTACAGTTCAGTGTTATGTGTAGTGCTGTACATTTAGGCTGCGGTATGATGATTACACGATGTGCCCTTAACACAGTAGCTTATTCTCTTGTATAGCTATTCAGTGCCTGGTCCATCCAGGATCTATTGTTGAGTTTCATGTTATCTAAGACAATGTTATGATGCTGTAGTATTCATTCATTGTATTGATATTTCCAAGTATTAGCAGATGCTGTATTTGTGCTGTGTTTTTCCATCAGTTTTACCTCATTCAATTAATTAAATACGTTTGGAGTCGGATGTTCACCCTGGCTCTGAAGGTTTATTGCATGAGAGGTTATCTACTCGGATAGTGGTCCAACTCAGTGCACAGCGAGGCCGAGACATTTTATCTGTGAAAAAGAGCTGCATAACTCATCGGATTCCTCCAGTATAAATAAATATTCTGATTCTGATCATTTCACCAATGTCAAGCAATGAATGAACACATGAAAGGACTGGTATTGGTCAAACATCCCAATGATTAATTCCTACAAATGATAAACTTTTCCATAACACACAGACGCAATATCGCTTTCCCCCTCTTCTACTGCGAACACTTGGCCGAGCTCACCTGTAAGAGTCTTGAGATTCATTGAGGCTTCCTTGGGTGTGTAACGATTATTGTATTAATAACAATAATGTCACTTGTATGTCTACATGTGTGGCGGAGACGTATAGGGATCGCGACTGATGCGTGCTGAAGGAGGCAGTAATGCCCTTGTCAACTAGTGCGTGACCAGTCATCATCAAGTTCATACTCAGGCCTTTGTCAATGCCCTGTTGTATGAAGACCTTAAAATAATCTTTAAAAACATTTAATTGTTTAATTTTACCAGGTAAGACCCACTGAGCTATATTTTTCAGAAGCGACCTGGCCACAAATGATAGTT